TGCATCAATAATTCAACTTAGTAATTTCTACATGCTAAAGCTTTTAAGCATTACTTAGCAAATATACTAATTATACGGCAGCGAACCTCACTTCCAAATTAAATAATTACGCAACAAGCATCTCCGAGACTCACCTTTGACTTAACGAATGATCGCGGTTCTGTAAAAGGTTTCTACGGGCGTTTGCCTTAGAATTTTACGAACGATTTTGCCTTAACCTTTGAACTAGAATCTATTCCAAAGGTTTACGAAATTAACTAAGGCAAGACTTAGAGTTTTCTTAAGGAAAATTTGATGGTAAAGCCCARGGATTTTACCTAACTTGGAACGGAGTTTGCCGTAGACTATCTGTAGATCTTCCGAAGTCTAGCCAGTTCTAATCCCGAAATATTTCTGAAATAGCTTGAAAACAGTTACGGAGGACACGAGATTGGATAGAGTAAGGCTCATAAAATTTCTCCTTCCTTTGAAACCTAACGGAACTGGACCTGCGTTCATGATGGTTCCTATCATTTGATCAAGATACTTAGGTTAGAATCAAGATCAGTACGTGAAAACGTATTGGAAATGATCGGACTCGGACTTGGAAAACTTATCCTAAGTTTCCACGAAAAGGTCATAGAGAATGGACTAATCGATTCAGAATGATCGTAACAAACTATCGTGGGTTAAGTTAAAAGTTTGGGCCAATTGATTCGTGGTGAAGGGACAGGCTATTTATAGGCGCGGATAAGCAGGTGAAGCAGCTGGACACCCTGCGGCTACCTGCCAAGACCGTTCCACCGAGCATTGCCCGTGTCGCGACACACGTCTGGGATCGTGTATCTGACCAGGCGTGTGTCCAACACACGCCAACGTGTGCTCGTCACGCTTAGGCACAACTCGGGCGCAAACTTACTCGTGGGCTACCCATGGCTGCCCAGCTTATTCATCAAGCTGCTTAACTAGGTTTTTTTTTTTTCCAAACCATTGAACTGATCCGGCCATTGCAACGGGTCTTTTACGAGGCTCTGCTTAGACTTATACGAGGGTCATTA